CCCCAAAACCCCAAAACCCCAAAACCCCAAAACCCCAAAACCCCTTTCTAACAAGTGTTTATTGAGCTTCATAAAGTTTTGTTCTTTTTATCAAATCTTGCCAGCCAGGTGTTATTAAGAGTGAAGAGAGTCTACTGATGAATCCCCAACATTATCACCGCCTTGCTCATTCTTTTTCTTGCTCTGTTTACTGGAATCAGACCTCAAGATTTTGATAATTCCTGCAATTGTGTTGACGCCTCCAATGATGGCTCAGCATCTAATGAAGAAAATAATAAATGGGTTCTCAGTTACTCTGTAGCTGATAAATAATGGAGATAGCTCAAATTTCACAAATATTGCTGGAAAACTGTGAGTATTTATGGTCTGCATGGAATATGTATATTCATGAGCTGAATACTCCTCATCTGCACCAACGAAATATCTTGTTTTCATGATATCGAGATAATAAGTAGTATAAGTATGGTGCAAATGACCTCCATGGTTGCTAGGATGAATAGACTCTCCTATCTTATCCAATGGAGAAAGGTTATATCCACCAGTTAGCTGCTTTATCTTTGAAATATGATCCTCATCTCCAAAGCTGAGATGGTTGATCTTATGCTCAAAATCTAGAAGTTTGTTTTTCTGAACAACTAACATGACAGCTTCAGCATAAGAGTGGCTAGATATATGAAAATTTCCATTAATTTTGTTTACGATCAAAGTACCTTTCAGCTTACATCCCTTTTGATTGTCTATATCCTCAAGAGTCTTGGCCATGACCTCCATGGGGTCGTGAGCCCTGGCCTTGGGGTCAATCACTTCTATAATGTTTCCTCTGCTGTCAATAACATTCTTTTTGAGGGTTCCTTCGATGTCTTGCACATGAGAGCCTATAGCGTCTTCTACGTCTACTGAAATTATGTGGCATGGAAGTTTAGGCATGTCAATATCAATGTTAATATGGATTTTTATTCTGACTGTTTGCTAATGTCAACTTGCAAGTCGGATACAAATTCAGGAGAAAGATATGTGGATATCTCTGATAGACACAAAAATACAATTATGATGATTATTACCAGTCTTGATGAGGTTTTAGAACTCATTTCATCATATAAATCTTGAGGTAACTTCTTATACATATCTCAACTCTTAAGGATTCTTGTGAGCGAGCTATCTTGTTCAGCCATTTTATAATTAAAAAATTGATTATTTTAGAAGGAATTTTAGAATTTTTGGGGTTTTGGGGTTTTGGGGTTTTGGGGTTTTGGGGTTTTGGGG